GATTTTCCCGTGAAATTTTCGTGTAAAATTAATTTAAATTCGTTAAAAAATTTTTGCAGATTTGAGTTGGTCGATTTTTTTATCAGATTAAGTACCCAATGACCTATCCTCGCTGATGAAACTTTCCGAGAATCTTTTTAAAAAATTTGGTTTCGAAAAATATATGAGGGGCGCGAAATTTTTACATGACAATTTGAGCAACATTTTATCTAGATCAGCATGAAAAACTAAACCGCAATTGATAAAATAAGAACATAAATATTCAATTATCCTCTTTAACGGGGTTAAAATATTTTACTACAACTCCAGACATATAATAACGTAATAGTCTGATTTTAATAGTGCCTTTGGTAAAATCGAACTAAATTTCAAGGTGAAAACCATATAAAAAACTTTTACACATCTTTTAAAATTTGAATTTTGGTCAAAAACAGGATTTTTAGGCGAAAGTCCATGATTTTTGGTATTTTTTAATGAAAATATGTAAGATTTTTCGTTTAGAAATGGTAAAAAACCGCTTAGAAACACTTCCGCTATGGTATAAAATTCGATACTAAAGCCCCCGCTAATGCAAAAGCGCCGAGATTTTCGATATTTGTAATTCGGCATGATTTGTACTATTTACTTTATTTTTTTTATTACCGTTTTTACATTAATCTTATAGCATTTATACTTTTCAGTTCACCTGGTCGTCGGGGTTGCTGTACCTATGGAATTTGGATATTGTCACCAATGGCATGGCATACCCCCTACAGTACGCGTTTTTCGGATCCGCCGCGTTGGTGAGAATTTCTGTTTTAATCGAATAATAATTGTTATGCTTATTTATAAGGTTAAATTATTAAAGCTGTATTTTCTGTTCAGATTTACTAGTTTTGTTAGGTGACAAGTTCGGATTTTTCAAAATTTATGAAACACATTTTTTGAAACATTTTAATTAGTTTTTCTATAGCAAGTTTTTATACTGTTACTGAAACTTATACTTTATAAATGTGTAAACATTCATGGGGGTTCATCGTGCTACTTATTGTAAAACATTAATTCCGGGGCAGTTATTAAAGTTGTATCTAGCCTTTTCGTTGTCGGTATTCAATACTAAATGATCAGCGGCAATTATCCCGATATTTAAAAATTCATGAAACAAATTTTTGAAAAAATGATTTTTGAACTTTAAAGGGTTTTATCGTGCTACGGATCGTCAGCTGGTACGCCTACAAGCGGGTGGCCGATCAGCGGTACTCCAGCATCGAAGATCGGTTGGTTTGTTTTGCAAGAGAATGTTTCATCAACCACGGTAAAGATGAAAAAAATAAGCGCTAAGGTTAATGCTAGTTTCCAGGGTAAGCTTGCGAATTTTAATAAATCAAAGGGACGGGCAAGGCATTGTGCCTTTCATTATTCTTCTTTTTCTTGATTTTTAAAGCGCATCCGCGATACGCAGCGCGCACCTCCCGTTACATGGCGTAATTGGTTACGGCCTGCCGGACACGTTGCGTTTCGCGGTCGCGGCAAATTCATAGGAATTCAGAGTGGGTAAGATCACTAGTCCTCCCTTGTCCGGCCCTTTAATTGAGCCCGATTTTGGTTTCAATATTTAATCTTGCTTTTGAATTACGATTTCACGATAATCTAACATAATGTCGAAATGTCATAATGTCGAAATCTCGTAATGTCGACATTCAGAATGTCGACATTTTTTGGAGGATTCGAGCGTTTTCCGGGAAATTCGCTTAGCTAACTTTCGACATTATGAAATTTCGGCATCACGCAGTTCGATATTAGGTTTTCCGGCATTTGGAAAGTAATCCCGATTTAACAGCTTTTGGGTCGTGTAACAAAGGCTAGAAGTTGTAGGAAAATAAGTTTCACCCAATGGGCCCATAGAATTAAAAGTGATAGGTTTAATTGACGGAAAACCATGCATTGGGCTATTTAAGTACAGGGTGTCCCAAAAAAAACGACCCATCTGGCATTTCGCCGTATTACATCCAATCGGCCCCAAATTTGGACCAGGGGTGTATCATACCCTAAATAACAACAATCCTGACTTTTAGCCCCATAGCTACAGTAGTTTTAAAGTTATAACCAAAATAAACTTTATTTTCCATTTTTCATAGGGTTTCCATGGAGTTAGACCCCCCAGACATTAAGTGAAAATGATTCGGTAGGCCTTCTTTACTCGAAGAAATTTTTTCCGGACCAGAATTAATCAAATAATCGTTCAGTTAAGCGATTTTTACAACACAAAATTACCCAAGTTCTTAAGCGAAATTAGGGATTCGCAGCCGGAAGTTGATGCAAATCGATGCAAAGTCCAAAAAGATAGCCGAAAACACTGTTTAGAATTGCGTCAAAAACAGTATTTTCGTTATAACTCGAGAAAGACTGTAGCTACGGGGCTAAAAGTCAGGATTGTTGTTATTTAGGGTCTGATACACCTATGGTCCAAATTTGGGTCCGGTTGGATGTAACACGGCGAAATGTCAGATGGGTCGTATTTTTTGGGACACCCTGTAGGCGCGAAGTTTTATCGTTTTTTATGTAGGTTGATTTCGTTTGGAAGTGCATTATTTAAGCGCCCTTTAGTGACTACGGTATTCGTCTGATTTTACGGGTCCTAGAAATCTATCTAAATTAGTTACTTATGAATTGATGTTTAACGTTTAAGTTAAACCTGATGATCCTAAAAACAACAAAAAATTTAAGTGTTTCGGAAAAGAATAGCAATATATACAAGCGCTTTTGCGGCAATGGCTGATCGTTTGTATCAGAAAAACGTAGAGGCGCCAGCCGGTTAATTTTACAAGTTCTTGTAGTTTATTGTCATTTAATTTACACTTAACGTTAAAACGGAAAACCTAAAGAAGAGGCGCAAACTAGAGAAAAGTTATGTGTTTCAGAAAAAGTATAGCAAGTCGCGTAATTTTTGTCGACAATATTGAGAATTCTACTGTCGATAATCTACTCATACCACAATAGAAATTAATACTACTTTTTTAATCTTAGCAGCCCTAAAACGGAAATTCTTCAAAAACGAGCAGTAAAATAAAAATTTAAGTGTTTCAAAAAAATTGGAAGAACAATTATGATTCTCGGCAGCAATTTTTTGACCGCGGATCTCACTAATAAATTTTTAGATACCTAACCGCACAAAACCTAAAAGCGGCCATCCTGCTGTGCTACTTGGCGCCGTACAAGTCGTTGTGCAACGTGCTGTCGCTGTTCGTCTACAACTGGATCTTCGAGCAGCACACCCCCGAGTATTTCCCCTACTACGGCGCCTTCTATTTTATGGGCAACCATTTGCAGGTCGGTTTTGGAGTTGAAAACGTTCTTTAAAAGTAAATATAATTCTTATAATTCCACTTGTATGAGTAGCAACATGTTTCATTAAAGAAACCATATTGGGTATTTTTAACAAAATTAATGGCATTTTTCAGCATCCTTTAATCTTCAACTTATTATTTCTGCATAAAATCTGAAAATAGGTTTTGTTTCATCAGGATTAATTTTTCGAATATAAATAAATTGAAATAAATATAATTTAGAAACGGTTATCTTATAGAAAAATATTATATTACAAAAAAATCAAAAAAATCGATTTTTCGACCAAAAATGACCGATTTCGAAGAAATGTTTTGAACGTCCGAGGGAAATTTGAAGAATGGTTGGGTTTGAGGAAAATGTTTCATGAGAAAAACTGTATTGTCGGTGAATAATAGCAATAATGATTCTAGCCGATCGTTCGTTTTAATTTTTCAACTTATTATTCCGCTTATTATGCTGAAAGTGTGTTTCATTCGTAAAATGTCAACGTGTGTTGACAATGTAAGGAATGTAAGCCGGCCTAGCCCCAAAAATAATGTAAAACGAATTTGGCTTTTTTATTTACTCGTTAAAAATTAAGAAGCTTTACAATTTAAAGGGACTGTCCAGATATATAGCGCTGCGTGACGCTTCGAAATCCAAAATCAGCTCCTTGCAAAAAAAAATCGGACCCTTCCTTACCGAGCCCTTTAAAACGTAGAGCTCACCTGTTCGGGCTCAATAAAATTGCTGATCAATGTTTCAAAAAACTACTAAGGTGCCGGGGGTGCGGTCTTGGCAATTTACCGCCCGCGGGAATTGGTACCTTTTACGAGACATACTAATAAAGCTCCATTTTTTTCAGCTCTACCTCCAGCTCATCCTCACCGTCATCGGCCATCGGCAGCTGGTCGACGAGTTTTTGAAAATGATTGGTATGTATTTTTAGCCTACTATTTGTTAGTTTTATTGGTATTACTTGAAAGAGGAATAATGGATCTAACAACCAATGTTTCGGAACTGTAACTAGTGCGATAGCTCGGGAGGCCAGCAATGTATTGCTCAAGGTGATCAATTCCACAAAACACAAAAGACTTCGAGGTTCATTCTAAATTGGCCTTTTACGGGTTTTGAACATGAAAAAAGTGAAGCCGAACAAGGCAGGAAAGGAAAGGCGACGAGAAGAACACTTTAAAATCCGAAAATTCTATATTTGAGCTAATAAATAACGATTACAAATGGCCAACACATAATAAGTCAAATGATTTTTCAGATACTTTGAATTGTCTGAAACATGCTTGGGTGTATGTACTTCTCCGCCCATAGTCAACTAAGGCTTTTACGGGATTTCGCAATGTCATAAAAACATCTACACAATGCAAACGGCATATTACACTTTTTAAAAAATCCGGAAATGCGAATTTTCGCCCAGTATCTTTTCGCGCGGTCTCGGTTGCTATTAATTAAGGAAAATACGATTTTTGTCAATTTTAATGAGACAATTGTAGGAAATTGATTAAGCGATTTATTAAAATGATTTGTAGGATCTGGATTACCGCAAAGAAGAATTGGGACGACATTCTATTCCACAGTAAATTCTCCACAAAATACTTTTTCAAGACCGACGCCAAATCTTATGTCATTTTTTAAATGAAGTTGTCAGCTCCTTTGAATTAGAGGAAACTCGTTTTTGCCAATTTCGACGAGAAATTTTCTAAGGATTAAATTAGGCGATTGGCAAATAGATTTTTAGGACATCCAAACGAGAAGCATTGCCGCCCCGCTATGTTCCAAAACCTCTGAGTTTGCACAAACATTTTTTTTTCAAACCCAACCCCAAATATCGGCAGCAACAGTTATAGGGCTGGAGATACGGCAAAACGAGCAGGACGTGAGGAGTGTCATCGGCGGGAGGATGATCTTTACATACGAGGAGGAGAACCAGATATATCACAAGGTGGGTACTGTAGATTTTGTGCCCGAATGGATATGAATACCTTAAAGGGGTTGAAAAAAAAAATTAAAAAGCTATTGTCAAACGTATATTGCCCTTGATCAAAATCGGCTATCCTCAAAAGCATTTGAACATTTTTTATCTCATTTTTCGATCGCTCAAATAGGGTTTTTCGCATTGTATGGCCTTAGCTTTAGATAAATGCCATTATCATTAATCATTAATTATCTAGAATTCTTTTTAATTTAATACATTAGCCCGCCTTATTTAACTTAATTTAATTTAATAGGAATCTTTTGATACAATCAAAGCAGCGGCATTGAAACGGCGCAAAATTTAAAATACCCATATTATGATGCAACATTTTTGAACCATGAACATTTGATTTTTAAATTTTGTCAAACAAATTGTGGAAAAAATTTTTTATCTTTTTACGGTAATTGAAACGCTCGATTTCTAGCAAATGCAAGACATGTGGCAATCCGTCGTTCCCGCCAAGGAGCCGCCGAAGCCACGCAACGAGAAGCGCAAACGATACGCTACTGTGGAGCCACATAAGGAAGTATGAGGAAAGCATATCTCTCGCTCCCTCTCTCTCTCTCTCTTTTTCTCTCTCTCACTCGCTCTCTATCTCTTTAGCTATCTCTCTCTATCTCGCTCTCTCGCTCACAATGCCTTTCAGTTTCTCACATAAAAATATATCAAATGTTTCGTGAAAACAACCTTTCAAATATTTTTGAAAGAGGGCAATGCGGCATCTCATCTCATCCAATGCAAAAATGTTGCTAAAAATTGTTTTTTTTTTAATTATACTTGAATGAAATTCTAACCTGATTTCTTGATCTCTTATAAAGTATGATTTTATTGATCTCTATTTTTCCTCTCTCTCCCTCTCTCTCTCACCCTCTCTCTCTCGCTCTCTCTCTGTCTCTCTCTCTCTTTCTCTTTTATTTTCCATCTCTCTATGACCGATTATGGGTACTGTCATAGGCGCTGATTCGGATTTGTCTTTTCCGTTCTTTAAAATATTCCTGATTAAATCTCGGTTTCCCTGGTTTTTTTCTTTGAAATTATGTGTTTTAACAGCCAGTTGAAACTTTTCCATAAATACTTAATACAATCCACGTGCGGACGTCATTGTGAATCATCAACATTTACAAAATCAACATTCTCGGACGGCACGGCTTGCAGAGATTTTCTAGGAAAAACGTCGTCTAGCTGGCAAACTAGCAGCGATTCTTTAGGGAAAACGTCGTCTAGCTGGCAACCGAGCAGAGATTCTTTAGGAAAGGCAGATTCCGGAGAGGGCAATGCAGCGGGGATTATTTAGGAAAATCAACACATGCCAAAAAGCTTTTAGGAACAATAAGTACGCGGGTAAGCTAACAGATTTTTTAGGAAAACCAGGGATCTAGACGCCAAACTAGCAATGACTCTTACGGAAATTCGATGCTTAGAGACCGCTAGCAATGATTTTACAGGAAAAACGTCGTCTAGCTGGCAAGCTGGCAGTGATTCTTTAGGAAAGCACCTCATGGCGGGTAGGCTAGCAGCGATCCTTTAGGCAAGGGAATTGCGTCCAAAATTAGAATTTTATGATTTATGGGAAATTTTAGATAGCTTGCCCTTAAAATAAATTTAAATTCTACTAAAACCCCTATTAGAGGGAATTTTTTTGGAGGCAAGCTAGCAGAGATCTTTTGAGAAAACCCGGCCCCAGCTGGAATCAATTTTCTGCAAAATCTTTATTCGGTACCTCGAGCTCAGAGCCAAAGAAACGTTGAGGAGCAGTAGATCGAGGAGGAGGAGGAGGAGTAAGCCCAACAAATACAGGATACAAGCAAAAAATAGACAAAAAACGGCGAGAGCGGGGCGGAAATCGATAATTCGGCAGTATGGCTGGCTGGGCGGGCGGGCTTGCTTCGTTTTGGCGAAGTCGACTTGGCTGGCTTCGTTCTACTTGGCGTCCTTTGCTTCGGATTGTGCTTCTCCCTCCGCTGCCCCGCCCTCGGCCGGCTTCTCGTCCAGCCGCAGCGTGCCCTCCTGCACCTTCTCCGCCGGCGCGAATTCGAACTGAAATAAAATACAAAAATAAATGTTTTGAAAATCTTATAAAAATTGTGCTTCAGTTATTTTTAAAATTATCGCTCGTCAATCAAAAACTAATCGTAAATTAGTTTTTAAAATTGAAAAATGATGTTTCAGAATCGCTAAATATCGCTAAATTCACAGAAACGTAATTAGATGTCGGTGTTGGGAAGACAAAATGTTTTGAAAATCTTTGATATTTTTGTGGAATTTCGTTGATTATCTGATCCGTAATTGCGTTAATTGGAATGGGGAAAACATCTTTTGGAAATTGTCGTATATCAATCGATTAACCGATGCGTAATAATACTCTCCAGTGCATCAAAAAAATCGGTTTTGGAAAGTCTTAAATATTGTTAAAATCGCTCTTTCATAACCGTGCTAACTAAAGGAATGCAAAAATTAAATCAAGGCGGGCCATAAAAATAGCAAAAAAAAACGAAATCCTGCTAGTTAGGACCATAAAGGTAAG